ATCCTTCACATATTACGTCATCATACAGGAGGGTGGAGAGGGTATCGAAAAAAGTGACAAATGATGACGGGAGGAGAGAGGAAGGAAGGAGTTGGAAGATATGATAATCTCATCGTTCGAAAAATTTTAAAACTTCTATGCCTGATTATATGATCACACTATAACTGAGAAATATTTCCCCCTCTCTTGTTCATACACATTATTGAGTGTTGACTTTTTTAATGTGTCAAGTATCGCAATGCACTACTATTAATAGTAGGATTTATTATAAATCAATATAGTCCAATTAAAAGCGACCACCTCTAATATTTTTGTATATGCGGTGTTTATTATGACGCTCTGAAGCGCTTGCAAAAAGGGGGAAGGTGTCACAAAAAAAAGGGGGAAAAAGGAGGAAAAGTCAAATAAACCGAGAAGGAGGGAGAAACATGCGAATAATATCTCCAAATACTTCATATCCCCAATCAGATGAAGACAATCATATATGAACGACTAAGAAACTGAGGATTTTTTACATTCCGTAGAATAGGAAACTTGCTAAAAAGGAAAAAAAAAGGGGGGATCATTTGTCCTGAACAAATTGTAGCCATATATCCAAGAGTGACTTATGCTTTTTTATCAGGTTTTTCACTCTTTTTAGTTGGAAGTAATGGCTTAGTCCATCATTTTTTCTTTTCTTAAAATCATTCCAGAAGGATATATCCTCAAAAAAGAGTGACGACGATAGATCTGACTTGTATAACTTTTTGAGCCTCTTTGCGATGTATCTTTTTACGTATTGATCAAATTCTTTCTCTTGAATAAAATTATGAAGTTCTTGTGCTCCTGCCCATGGGCATCGGTGGACTAACCTCAGTCCAGCTCTGTATTTCTTCTTAAACATCTCTTGTTGTGTAGTCGGAAGAAAGGGAAAGAAACAAAAAAGCCAAGAGAAATAGGGGAATGAATATGTAAAAAAACATTGCCGCAAAACTTCGGTAGAGATCCCTCTGTTGCGCTTCAACCACTTTAATTTAGTATAAGACCGTTGAACCTTTTCTAAACAATTTCCTATCGTTTTACGCATGGATAATTTACTTGTCCAGTTATATCCGAGATACTTAAAATCTTTTACACATTCTAAAGGGATATTGTTCATTGTTACTGTAAGAGACCTTAGATTTATTTGGAAGTGGAACACTTGAAAAACTGACTTTGAAATGTTTATTGGTTGTTTCCACCTTCTTGCGTATTGAAACAACTCATTACATACTCTGGAGCCCTCATTTTCCAGGAATTGAAGCATAGGTTCTAATTTCTTTTCGATTGGGGCTCTAATTAATACGTTAAGGTCATCTGCAAAAATATGTGTCGAAAAGGCACCTGTGCATTTTATGAGATCCGAGTGAAATATGATAAAAATAAAGGGACTCAGACTACTTCCTTGGGGGAGCCCTATTGACAATGAAAACTGATTAGTGTTGACGTCTCCGTAGACGACAAATGCTGACCGTTGAGATATCCAAGACCATAGTATTTTCAAAATTTCCTTTGGGATATTTAATCGATTTAGTTTTACAATTAAGGCTGCATGCCAAACTTTGTCATATGCTTTCTGATAGTCTACATATATAGATAGTGTAGGGACATTAGCAGCCAGATTATTTTGTATTTCTTGATAGATAGACAAAACTCTTGTTGGAATTGAACAATTCGGCCTAAAACCAGACTGTTCTACAGGAATAATGCTATTCAATTCTGCCCAATTCCAAATTCTTACTAATAAAAGTTTTTCGAAAATTTTTGAATGTGTTGCTAAGAGAGATATAGGGCGAGTTTGATCGCTACTAGGAATACCGGTCTTTAATTTGTTTAAGCTAATAACTTTGGCCACTTTCCAATCATGTGGAAATCTACATTCTTTTAGCCATAGGTTAAAACAATTACAGAGACATTGCAAATAACCGGGAGAAAGTAGCTTGAGCATAAAATTCGATATCGAGACATACCCTGCTGATTTTTTTGGCTTAAGAGATCTTATTGCATAACAAATTTCTTTAATATTTGTCTGTTCTATTTCCATCGAGTTAGAAAAGGATTTTAATATATCTTGGAATTCATTCTCAATCTCTGAATCGTGGGGATCGTTTCTATCAATATATGGAGGTTGAAATTGATCAGTATAATATTTATATAATTCTTGTGCTATTACTTCTTTATCTGATATAATCTTATTGTTCACCTTCAGTTTTGCGAATGGGAGTGATTTTGGTTTATATAATTTTCCTAGATGTGACCAGAAGTTTACATCATTTTTTGTTTTACTTTCTTGAATTTTCTCTAGGAAATTAGACCAACGTTTTGATCGATAATTTGATATATCTGCTTGTACCTCTCTGTTTAATGTTCTCAATAAAATTCTTTCTGCTTCATTGTCAATATCATATCTTCTTTTCCTATAATAATTATTTCTTACTTTTCTTAACTCCTTAAGTTTATTCAGAATAAATTCCGGTAGAGCTGGTCTAAATTTTTCTTTGTTTTTCCAAGTTGTCACTCGGTTTTTTGCTGCTCCTAAAAATCTAATGTACAGTTTGTACCAATCATCTAGTGTAATAGATTTTTGAAAATCGAACCAAAAATCCTGAAGTAAACATAAAAGAACTTCATATTCTTTCCAACGTGTATGAGGAAACGAAGAGTGAGTATGATAGCTAATTATATTGGAAGTATATATGATGGGCCAGTGGTCGCTAGTGCCAAAGGCTATAGTCTCTTCTTTTACATTCCTGATATTTGTAAAAAGATGATCGATGTTTCTTTTAGAGCGCTTCGAAGAGTTAAAGGTATTTTTTACATATAAGAGGTTATTTTCTTCTATCCATTCTTTCAGTAAAACTCCACGATTGTCATCGGAAGGACTTCCCCAGTCCATTGTTGTTGCATTAAAATCTCCAGCTATTATTGTGTTATTGATAACAAAATTGGATAGATCCTTTAAGTTTCTCTGTTGGCTTGCAGGCCAATAAATTCCAATTATTCTAAGTGGTTCACTTAGTCCATAGACATCAACCACAACTGTATTTGGAATTGATGAATCTATTTCCACTCCTTTCAAATTTTTTCCTAGACATATACAAACACCACCGGATCTATTCAGCCCAGCTTGATAGAAGGTGTTATAATCGGGAATTCTAAAATCATGTCCTTGTTCACCAACTTCCGTAAATATGCATATAGAGGTCTCTACAGAATAAATTAGATCGATTACTTCTAATCTACGTGTTTTCCAACCTTCTACATTATATAAACAAATTTTTAACGGATCTGCAAAAGAGAAAGAATTAAAACTTTTAACGTCCATGTGAACGCGTTCCCAATGTTGCAATAATACATTCAAGGGCATAGAGTGCCACTCTGTTAAATAATTTGATATTTTTTCTATCATCTTCTTGGAAAACCCCAGATTCTTAGTTGTTCAATATCTTTTTCTACCTTATCTACTACTGAATGAGGATAAAAAGCACTTGCATTAACATTTAAAATAGGTATTGTCATTGTTACTAATTATCATCTACCATCCGGTCCGAATCTTCTATTAAGGTTGGTGTATCATTTGATGGTGATAACGATGATGGTTGGTTTTGATTAATATTGTTAATAAAAGGTACTGTTGGAGTAATATTGTTGGATTCTTGTTTGTTGTAACCAATATTAAAGTTCATTCGCATATGATCTGCATGTGTACGAAACGGAACTTCCAGTTCTTGAAGAGCAGAAGATATTTGTTGTTTCATTTCCAGTTTCGAATTTGGAATAAGGTTTATCAATGGAAGTACTACATTTTGTAAGATTTTTGTGATTGTTGAGTTAATTGTGCACAAACTAACTTGATGTAATTGAATATTGCTTGAGTTAATATTGATTTTTTCATCTAGTGTTTTCAAAATTAATTCTTTAATTGAATGGATTTCATTTTTAAAATCTTGGTCCATCTTTATCAGCATTGAAGTAATTGAAGTACTGGACCTGATACTGTTGTTTGTTATTGATTGAGAGTTTGTACGTGGCCATGTATTATTATCTAACATTTTAATGTTATTGTTGTTGGTCGATAGTGAAGGATAATCAATATCATAATTTGATTTCGAATATGGTACTTGGTGTTGATGATGGAGTTGAACAGTTCTTCTATTAATTATACCATCGATAACTGCTTGTTTTACTTCTTGATTGAGTTTTTGTCGATAATTTTGTATATATTCACATTTGGGATCGAGTGAATGATGATCAAGCCCGCATTGTGCACAACGAGGATTACCCGAGCACATGCTAATATGATCTCGACCGAAAAGTCCAAGACAAATTCGACATTTACGCACATTTGAATTACAAGAAGAACGTAAATGACCGATTTGCCAGCAATTGGTGCAAAAAGTTAATTTATTCGCTGGCAGATATCTTGTAATTGGATGAAGGCGATTTGCAATATTTAAGCGACCTAATTTTAATGCACCTTCGTATTCTACTAAATCTGAAACTGTAAATCTTATATCTTTGTTGGGACGATTAAATGAATACATAATTTGTTTGAAATTGTCGGCCGAATTGATTGAGCGTTTAATTTCATCAGCAACATCTTGAATTGACAGGTCCAGGGGAACATATCGTACTACAAGTGTAAAGCATTCAGGAACAAATTTTGGTTTGATCACTTCTATTTTCTTTCCATTAATTGATGATGGCCATTTGTCCGTTCGGACAAGTGTTGCATAATCTTCCATGTTATTGACAGCTATCTTTAAACGATGTCCCACAAACAGAGCAACAGAAAAACCATTTATATCGATGTTGTTTTTGTTAAAATGGTCTTTAATTAAATCACAAGCAATAATTGCTGACGGAAGATTACGTAAAGCAATGCTACTGTCAAACTGGATCACAAAGCAGGGGAGATTACAACCAACTGCTCTTTTCAATTGATCAATTGGAATGTTATATGATTTGTTGATATTTGTTTTTGTTGTTGTCGTAGTTTGACAATAATTAGAAGACATCGTCTTTAAATTTGAACCTTGAGATGGTGTACTACCTTTAGGCGAGAACCTATTTGTTTGTTGCCGATAATTTTCATCTTCATGTCTAGCTTTTTTCTTCTGTTCATTTGATTTATTTAATTGCTCTCGACTTATCTTGGAAGTTGAATTTGACTTTTCCGGAAGATGGTAGTAGTTATCTGGTGTTATAATAGCAGTACCATAATTATGATTCAAGTTGTTATTCGTATGATGATTCATTATATTTATTGGTGAAGCTTCATTGTAAGCATGTTTGTTTGTTTTCTTTCCATGTACAAGGTGATCTTGATGCACTGGAACATATAGTTTGCCATTAAGATTAATAACTTGGGCCTGTTGTGTGTTGTTGGATGTGGTGTTGGGTGATTCTTCAATTAATGTTGTTGAAAACTGATTTTTGTTTATTGTACTTGAATTGATATCTTCATCCGTTGTTATACATCTATCATTAAGTCCCTTTCTGTTCTTATTGAAATCATTGTATCTTTTTTGTTTTTGCGAGTACATGATTGAACTCATTTAATAAAGAAAACTCAAGGATGAAGAACCTTGAATCTTGAACACGTTACCTCTACTGATCAAACAAGCGAGGAACGAATGTTAAGAAAAAAAAGAAGCGACCACCTCGAAAACATGCACAAAAGATTATATAACTCATGAT